AGGCCTGGTGGCATGTGCCTGTAATCCCAACTACTCAAGAGGCTGAGGCAAGAGGATCGCCTGAGCCCGAGAGTTTAAGGTTGCATTGAGCTATGATCAGGCCACAGTACTCCAGCCTGGGTGATAGAGGGAGACCCTTTCTCTAAAAAAATGGGGAAAAAAAATTTAATGTATAATTTGCACTTTTATCCAGAGCAGATCTCTTTGAGACTATTCTGAGTTACTGAGAGTTCACTGTAGTTGTATGCCTCCAGTCTATCAGTGAGTATTTCTTCTCTGTACACTGGGCCTGAGCTTATATTCTCTTTCCTTTCCTCCTTTCTTTCTTTCCTCCTTCCACGTAACTCCCCATTCCTTTCCTACACGCGGTTTCTTATAAAAACACATTTGTGGATCAGCTTGATATGTTCTCATTGGCAGCTCTGCGGCCTCCTAAGCAAAGATGTCAAATCGAAAATGTTTCCCCAGTTTCCCGAGAGACCCATGAATTGGGTTAGTCAGCCTTGAGCATCCGGGCTCTGCATTTCAGCCTTGGCTCAGAGCCCCGTCCCTGCTGGGCACTCACGCTTACCTGGTTCCCAACACAGGCCCCTGGCAGGGAATCACTGCCATGAAGCAGCTGCCAGGAGCTCAGTTACCATGAGGCACCATGGCATGCAGGGAATCTTCCTGTGTTCAACTGATACTTCACTTTTTAAAAATCTGATCACTTTACATTCTGTGTTAAACAATCATCAGAGGGCCTTGCCTTCCCTCAAATAAACTCAACCTATGACTCTTTTTCCTCTTACTACAGGAAACTTATTGTGTGGCAAATATGCTAACACTGCTTAAATCCCAGAGTAAAATTACAAGAAACAAAGAGGAAATGCCATAAGCAAACCTCATGTGCTGGAGGTTTCATCTTAAAATAGATCCTATTCTAATTTTTCTCCAAGTCATATGCAATATTTTTCTAGAAGTATATTGTACTTTTCAGGTTGGAGAGTGTATTTCCACCTGGCTTTCTACTTTCAGTGTATCAGTTACAAAGCTGATGTTAAAATTCTCATAGCTTATCAATGGAAACCTGATTATTGCTCTTCATCCAAGGAAAAAAAAGTGAAATTGATTTGAATGGAGGACAACATGGTACCAAAAAGGCATTCAGACTTCCTGCTGTTTGCCTCACAGAGCAGAGCAAATCTCACATTCCTCCTGTTTGGCCCCAAAACACTTCTCTGAAAGATTATCTTGCATAACAGCCAAGGATACCTATATTTAGAGACCTTTGTGCCGAGTGAGGGCACATGAGCACTTTGAAAAGAGCAAGACTGGGAGCTATTATTTCTTCCAGATGGATATGAAGTCATTTTCAAAGAAAGAAAGGCCTTGATTTCTTTGGGGTCTTGTTAAAAACAGTTCAGAGTTTGCATATCAGAGGAAGAAAGAAGCTCAGTCTTCTAGGAAAAGATGATGGACTTAGTGATGGGAATTGGGAAGATTTTCTATGAAGCTGTAAATTAATGAAGCTTAAGCTTCGGGAGGCTGCTCACGTGCACATGGCCCCGTGAGGACTGGGGGTTAGTTGCTGGTAGGAAAGGGAGAGCAGGGTATGACCAGGAAGTGTCTCTGTGTGAGCAATTCTAGTAAAGTTGCTAATCTCAGGAAAAAAGGATGTGGATCTCCATGGATCCAGTAATTTGTTGTGATTTATTTTCTCTTTCTCCGTATTTATTTTCATACTAGCTCTTATGTTCATAACTTTATATTCTTTTCCTTAAAGAGAGTGCCCAAAATTGTATAAGCTTGAGGTTTCACATAAAATCTGGCTCTACCTTTGTTTAAGATTTAATGATATTTAATTTCAATTTATTGCTTAGTCTGTTTCTGATTTACTTAATTGGCAGCTCCTTTTTAATTTTAAAAATGGGTATTACATTATAAAGTTTCCTTTATTCAGCGAAGCTATGGGATGAAAATTCAATGAATGTATGTGTGTGTTGGGGGAAGGGAACAGTGATATTAGGGATTTGAAGGGAGGGAGTCTGTTTTCTTCTACCAGAAAATACTGTTATATTTTTCCTTCACTGAGACATTGAAATGCCCCAAACTGGCAATATATTTGTGGCTCTTCAAAGTTATGAACACACACTGATATTTTTTTTAAAAACCCACCACCCCCGCCCACCCTGTCCTGAGTAGAATTTGCTACACGGGAAGATGCTATTAGAAAGACCTTATCACCGGATCTCCTCTAAGTATATAGCTGAGCACATTATTCAACACTGCACACTGTCTTTTTCTGGGGGACTCTCCAAGGAATTTTTCTGGTCTTAGTTCCAGGAACGGTTGTACTTCTTTTGGACCACTGGCCTTGTTATCTTATCAATTCTGTGAATTATATAACCAACCACAGTTCCCAGTTTGAGTTGGTTGCTGGTAAGCCCAAAACTAAATCTGCAGCCAGGTCATGCCTAGTAATTACGGTGTGTTTTTTGTAGTCACGTTTCTGACTCCATTTTATTTTATCTTTCTTCTTTTATTTCTAATTATTACTCATGCTATGTTGTTATATTTTATATATCCTTTTGCAACAGGGAGTAGGAATATAAATTAGTAAAACATTCTTTCCAAAGCATTCTGGTTATAGTTTTGTGATAGGTATATGGATGTGTAGCAAAAAAAAAAAAAAAAAAAATCTGTACTCACCACGCCAAAAAAATAAGAGGATTTTGAAGAAAGGTTATTGTGACATGTGGCACCGTTCTGTTTCTTCCCAAGTCCCTGTTTGCACTCACATTTCTGCTCACCTCACCACGAGTGTCCAGGGTGCCTCTCATGTCATTCCGGCATTCTGCCACTTAACCTCAGGGGGCCCTAATGACGGCAGCTGCTTCTAACCCATCTCTGCCATTCCCAGGATTTACTCCACCCCACTCTGTCCCATGCCTGTTCTTAATAAGGCCCTGTGCTCTAACATCCTTACCAAATCCAGGTTGACTCAGGATATCCGTCCCACATATTTGGGGGCATATTGATACAAACGAAGTTTCAGAGAAGGTTCCCAAGTCTGTAAAAGAGTGTGAAAGTGGCTGGGCGTGGTGGCTCAAGCCTATAATCCCAGCACTTTGGAAGGCCAAGGCAGGAGTATACCTTGAGCCCAGGAGTTAGAGACCAGCCTGGGCAACGGTGAGACCCAGTCTCTATAAAAATATTAAAAAAAAAAAAAAAATTAAGCAGGCATGGTGGCATGTGCCTCTAATCCCACCTGAGGCAGCAGAATTGCCTGAGCCCAGGAATTCTAGGGATCACTATGATCCCTGCACTCCAGCCTGGGTGACAGAGAGAGACCTTGTTTCTTTAAGAAAAAAAGATAAAGACCCCTGAAGGTACTCTGGCCCTAGAAATGGCATCACAGATAATTCAGACATGAAAGTGATCTGGCAGTGGGAGGAGGAGGCCCAACCTCCCTGGATGCTTTTCAAGACTTGAGCTATCTCTGTGAGCTCAACGGGAGACTTCCTAGGAAAAGCAGCAAGGACGGATGTGCCAGGGGAAAGCAGCTGTCTAGCAGGGAGAGTCTTCCCTGGGGTTAACCCTGGTCAGGCCAGTCTTCCTCTGGAGGGTCTGATCATATCATAGCCCCCGTCTCAAACTTTTCATCATTCAGGATTTCAGATTCAGATCAGAGTGAGAGCAGAGTCTTACCATTACCCCAGAATTTCTAGGACTAACGTCCTTTTCCCCAACTGCCGCTATCATGGAAGAGTTCAGCCCTTAGCCTGCCCTTTCAGAGCCTCCCCCACCCCTCCAGCGTCACTCTCCTGGAAGCCCTCTCATTGACACCGCTGATCCTTTTTCTCTATTTCAATCAGAGATATCTTTCTCAGACTTTTTCTCCTATTCATAAAAAGAGGGGGTGAGTTGGCTGTGGGTAAATTTGAGATTCTGCCTGAACCAGATTGATCTAAGTGTTTTATTTCCACCCACAAATTGAGATGACTACTACTGAGTTATATCTCCTGAGAAAGGAAAGTCAACATTCAAAAATACTTTGAGACCCAGGTGTAAGGAGATGGTGAATGTGCACATTAAAGATCGATACAGTGAATATGCTCATTAGAATGTAAGCTGCACAGGGACTGGGGGCTTTTCTGGGTTATTACCTGCTGTGTCCCCAGATCCTGGCACATGATAGATGCTCAGTAAAGATTTTTTGGTGTGTTAACTGTTTTTATAAATGGGTCTGTATTTGTGATTTACACTGGATGCCTTTGCCCTTTCAGGCTGCTAAAACAAAATACCAAAGACTGAGTAGTTTATAAAAAAAAAAGAAATTTATTTCTTACAGTTCTGGAGGCTGAGAAGTCCAAGATCAAGCACCGGCAGAGTCAGCGGACCGTGAGAGTTCATTTCCTGGTTCACTGAAATGGCCCTTTCTCGTGTGGTAGACGGGGAAGGCAGTCAGCTCTAAGCCCTTTATATAAGGGCACCTAGCCCACCCATGAGGGCACCACCCTCATGACCTAATCACCACCCCACCTCCCAGTACTGTCATCTTGGGGTCAGGATTTCAGCATATGAATTTTGTAGGGACACAGACATTCAGACCATAACACTGAACAAAGCCTCTCAAAATCTGAGGCTTGCTCTCTCCATCTCTCATGCCCCTAGAAGAAAAACCAAATTGGCTTACAGTTTGGGGAAGAAGAAAGGGAGGAGGAAAGGAGTGTAGTCATTTAGATATTCTCATTGAAGGATATGTGTGCATCACAGTCACACACCTGTGCCTAACGGCGACCTCCACGACTGAGGCCGCAGGCGTCACACTTTGACTATGGTGGACACTCTTCGTTGCCCCCCACCATTCATTCTCCCACATTTTTCTTTACTAACAAATCCCAGTTTTGCTCAAATACTAGATAATCAGCTGTTTCAGAAACTTTGGGCCCTTTTCCATCAAGGGATGAATCCTTACAAGTCTAGGCTGAAGGTGGGATTCTGTTCCCCTCACCCAGGCTGGAAGAGGGACGTGAAGCAAGTCAGAAAGGGAGTCTGCGAGGGGACTTCTGGAAGAGTCTTCATGCCACCAGGTCATAACGGAACATGGGGGAAAAGACAAGCCTCTTCCCTCTTCCAACCTGAGGACGTGATGAACCTCTGCAGCCGTGTTGAGGACAGGAGGGAGTGACCGGCCCTAAGAACAAGCTGAGGACGGCAGCGCAGAAAAGTGGGAAGAAGCTGGGTCCTTCATTACGTCTTTGAGCCATTGAATTAATCAACTCCAGAAGCCCCTTTCTTCTAAAATTGCAGTCAGAGGTAATATAAATTTCTAAATTTAGATGGCATTTAATTATGTTTTCTGTTATTTGCATCAAAGAATATCCATTGGTATGATGACCAAAGGCACAAGAACCCAGAAAATAACACTCACCTTGGTGAGAAGAGCTAAGAGTATGCATCTTGGGAACAAGTTTCCCAACAAGGCCAAGTAGCACCAACTTAAGTTTCATAGATACCACTCTTGACAATGTACCATTTTCATTATGATTCATTTGCCTAAAGTTCGACATATTATCCAGTCATTTCCATTAAGTAATTTTATACTCACTACCTTTCTTGCTTGCTTGCTTTTTTTTTTTTGGCAGCTGATTGTAGTCCAGAACATATGTCAACAAACTTTTTCTATAAAGGGCCAGATAATAAATACTTCCTGCTTTGTAAACCAGATGGTCCTTGTCCCAACTACTTAACTCTGTCACTTTAACACAGAAGTAGCTATAGATAATACATAAATAAATGAGTGTGGCTATCTTCCAATCAAACTTTATTTATGAATACTGAAATTTGAATTGTATATTGTCTTCATGTTCACAAAATGTTATTCATTTTATCATTTTCAACCATCTAAAAATGTAAAAAATTAAACAACCAAACCAATGAGTACATGTAAAACTGGGTAAATTTGGGTAGAATGTAATTGACATATCACTGTCAAATCCCTGGTCATGTGATGTATCATATAATTTTTTAAGATGTTGCCATTGATTGGGGAAAACCGAGTAAAAAGCACATGGGATTACTCTGTATTACATCTTTTTTTATTGTAGCAAAAAATATATAATATAAAATTTATCTTAACCATTTTTAAATTTCCAATTCAGTAGCATTAAGTACATTCACATTGTTACGCAACCATCACCACCAACTGTCTTCAGAACTTTTTCATCATCCTGAAAGTAAACTCTGTGCCCATCAAATATCTCCCTGGGACTCCCTCCCCACAGCCCCTCATCAGGCGATGAATTTTATTGTTCTAGGACCTCATATAAGTAGAATCACATAACATTTGTCGTTTTGTGTCTGGTTTATTTCACTTAGCATAATGTAATCAGGATTCATCCATGCAGTAATATGTACCAGGTTTTCATTCCCTTTTAAGGTAGAATAATATTTCATTGTATGTATATACCACATTTTCTTTTTCCATTCATTCATTGATGGACATTTGAGTTATTTCCACATTTTGGCTATTGTGAATAATGTTGTTATGAACATTGGTGTACAAGTATCTGTTCAAGTTCCTGCTTTCAATCCTTTGGGATATATACATAGAAGTAGAATTGCTGGATCACATGGTAAGTCTGTGTTTAACATTTTGAGATATTGCAATATTGTTTTCCATAGCAGCTGCACCATTTTACATCCCCGTCAGCAGTGCTCAAGGGTTCCAGTTTTTCTATATCCTCACCAATGCTTGTTTTCTGAATTTTTGGTATAGCTATCCTAATGAATAAGAAGTGTTATCTCATTGTGGTTTTGATTTGCATTTCCCTGATGATTATTTGTGTTGATCATCTCTTCATTTGCTTATTGGCCATTTGCCTTCTTTGGAAAAATGCCTATTCAAGTCCTTTACATATATATATATATATTTTTTTTTTTTTTTTTGAGACAGGGTCTTGCTCTGTTGTCCTAGCTAGAGTGCAGTGCCATCATCACAGCTCACTGCAACCTCAAACTCTTGGGTTCATGTGATTCTCCTGCCTTAACCTCCTGAGTAGCTGGGACTTCAGGCACTTGCCACCACATCCAGCTAATTTTTAAAAATTGTTTGTAGAAGTGGGGTCTTGCTATGTTGCTCAGGCTGGTCTTGAACTCCTAGCCTTAAGCAATCCTCCTACCTCGGCCTCCCAAAGTGCTAGGATTAAAGGCATGAGCCACTGTTCTCAGCCCTTTACCTATATTTTAATGGGGTTGTTTGGTTTTTTGGTGTCAAATTGTGTTCTTTATATAGTCAAGATATTAATCCTTTATCAGATATATTATTTGCTTATTGATTTGATTATTAATCCTTTATCAGATATATTATCAGATATATAATATTTTCTCCTGTGGATTGCCTTTTTATTCTGTTGATCATATCCTATGCTATACAAACATTTTTAATTGTGATAACATCTGTTTTATCTGGTTTTTTCCCTATATTCTTATAACTGCAAGTGAATCTACAATTACAAGTTTAAAAATTTAATTTAAAAAATTTAATTAAATTTAATTTAAAATTTAATTTAAAAATTTAATTTACATTTAATCAAAATGTAAAAACTGTTCTCATGGGTTATACAAAACCGTGCCACTTAGCCCCTAAGCTGCAGTCTACCAGCCCTGCTATAGAATAGAAAATGGAGTTGTTGCAGCTGCTTCCTTACATTCAAACACACTATCCAATCTCTCATTCTGCTCCTAATCCACTACCTCAGAGGCTTAAAAAATTCAAGCACTTATACCTCATGTGTTGTTGCAACATTTATGAATATATGTATGCACATGTTTCCATCTCATTTGTTTTAAAAAATCAAAGGACTAACCATAAAAGTAGCTACAATGACATCATAAAAATAGCTACAATGACATATTTGATTTTTAATAAATCAACACCCCAGGTTTTTAAATGTCCCTTGAGACCTTTACTTATAACATCTATTGTTCTTTGTTGCATTGACGCAGAAGATTTTAGAATTGGCATCTTTGTAGTTGCCCACCCAACCTTTCTCCCCTCCTGGTCCGTCCTCCACACCCTTACACAAACTGTCTGCAGCTTGGCCTCCCACGGCCTCCCGAGGCAGCCTCTTTCAAGGCTTACAAGCTCCAATTATTAGAAAGTCCTGATATCACTGCATTCCAAGGAGAGTTTTCAATCCCTTTGTAAAATTCTGAGTACAGAATCTTGTTTAAAGAAGGTTTTCATGACAATAATGTTCTAGTTCTGCAATAGGAAGATGGCTCCGCATAGTTTTATTATGTTCTATAATTTACCTTAATGTTACATAAATTCTATATATTGAGTATTTTACAACAAGCATATTTAGAAAGAAGTGATTCATTATTCTTGTTTCTATTAGAAATATTATATGAGAGGCATCAGTGCAAAGCTTCTCAGGGGTCTGGGGGGGACTGAAAGAGAACATCTCCGAGGGTACAGCCCTAGCCCAAGCCCTACCAGGAATTCTCCCAGACAACAGCCAGCTCCCACCTCCCTCCAGTGCATTCTGCACACCACAGCCAGACCAATCTTTTTAAAACTAGGCCGGGCGCGGTGACTCACGCCTGTAATCCTAGCACTCTGGGATGCTGATTTTGGCGGATTGCTCGAGGTCAGGAGTTCGAAACCAGCCTGAGCAAGAGTGAGACCCCATCTCTACTATAAATAGAAAGAAATTAATTGGCCAACTAATATATATACAAAAAATTACCCGGGCATAGTGGCACATGCCTGCAGTCCCAGCTACTCAGGAGGCTGAGGCAGAAGGATTACTTGAGCCCAGGAGTTTGAGGTTGCTGTGAGCTAGGCTGACACCATGACACTCACTCTAGCCTGGGCAACAAAGCGAGACTCTGTCTCAAAAAAATAAAATAAAAAAATAAAAGGTATATCTAATCTTGTCACCCTCTTGCTTAGAACCTTTTAATCATCTCTCATCATTCTCAGAATAGAAACCCAAATCCCTCCCACAGCCCACAAAGCCCAGCACAGGCTATATCTGCAGCCACATCTTGCTGCCTCCCTGTCGCCCTCCGTGGTAATGCCCAGTATCCTCAGTTCCTCAGACTCGTCACGCTCCTGCAGGTACTCTTCCCTCTGCCAGAATGTTCTGTGTCCTCCACACACACACTGCTCCCTGACTGTCTCTCTTGGGTAAATACCTAGCAGTGAGATTGTTATATGCTAAGTGTATGCTTAACTCTAAAAGCAACTGCCAAATTGTTTTTCAGGGTGGCTGTACCATTTTGCACTCCCATCAGCAATGTAAGAAAGTTCCAGTTGCTCCAAATCCTTGCTAGCACTTGATATTGGTAGCTTTGTTATATGCTAGATATGCCATATATGCATAGAGTAAGTAATTATGAGATTCTGCTAAAGTGCATAGAAGATAAAGTAACTTCTTTGAATCTATTTCAGTGAGAGCTCTCTGGTCTACGTTATCTCCCACTCTCCCTCCATCCTTCATAGTAACCTTTAGCCAAGCTGCTATGAGAGCACAGGGGATTTAACACGCTTAACCACAGAGATTGTTTTTCAAACTGAAATGATAAAAGCACAGCAGCTTCAAAGTCTTACTTTACAATCTCTACCAAGCTCAGTCTTAGCCCTGACCACGACAGCTCCGTTGGAATCAAAGTGGTGAGTGTGAAGGTCACGTGAGTGGAAATGTCACAAAGGGCATAGTTACAGAGGGCTCTAAGACTTCCCAGAACGGAAATACTTTTGAAGGTTGGTTAAGATATTTTCCAGATCAACTGCTGGTTTAACTCTTCAGATTACCAGTGAATTCTCTTTTTTCCCCCCTTAACACAAAACCTACACTGTTGGTAAACACTGGGAGACACAGGTACCTTTGACAATTACCGTTCGCAGTTCTGAGCGTGAGGCTGCTAGTATCATAACACTTAAAAGGCTGACATGCAAATTGCTAGGAGTGTTTTATAGTTTGCTTTTTATTTCATCAGCATATTCCAGTGAAAATGTTTTTGACTAATAGAGTTTTAAAAGGCTGGCTCTGGAGCTAGCCTTTGCTAAGGTAACATATTAATGAGTCACCAGAAGCTATAAATAGAACTCAGCGGGAACTTCTGTCCACAATTACACCACTATTCCCACAAAGAGAGAGGTTACTAATGACAGAACATGGCCTGCTGGCCACTGTTACAACCAAAGGAGGAGGAGGACACAGGGAACCACAGCCTTGTGGGGAATGTGCCCTGAGGTGCGATTCGCCAGGATGTCATTAGAGTTGTGCTCTCTGGTATCCCTTACA